CTATAAGACAACCGATTAGCAAATAAAGTGTTTGAGAGCATGTGATCGTGTGTGTGTGTGTGTGTGTGTAACATTGCATGTACTTTGGAACAACCTCTACTTTCTAGCTGTGAAAGTCTTTATTTAAATGTAATAACCTTGCCGCTGGTTTGCTGGTAAGCCTCTTTGATCTGCTGTCTCTGGTCGTTACTCCTTTTCACCAGGATTTCAATTATGGTGTTCTCATCCACACCTGCACAGAGAATATGTTGTTAATTAAAATCTCCATTTATATTATTCTGCATCTGCATGACAGATATGCAAGTAGGTGGAGACTTTAGTTTGCACTAATTGATTAAAAAAAACTTTCTACAACAGACATTACACTGAGTAGTAATGGTGCATGATGGCCAGCAGAGGATGTTAAAATTCTTACATGAGAGGCCAGCATATTATACTTCTAGCACATATTTACCAAAGCCGAGACATGTTGACACACACTCCAAAGCTTTCCTGTGTGCACATTAAGTTCACCTTTTGCCTTGATGGCCTTATCCAAGATTGCTGCATCTCCATTGGGGCTGAAATTGGGTGATGCAGTCACCGTTCCCTCCTTCTGTAGGAGCTGAAAGACACAACACAGATTATTGTGTTTGGTAAATACTTCTACTACCAAGTAATGTGCAGGTTGTTTACAAACATGCATTTTTCTAATTCCTTTGTTGCAAAAGTGCTCTTTAAAAGAGGTAAAACCACATATTTTCTCCCCTTACATATTGCTGCATCTATCCTCAACATAAGACATACAAAAGATATAAAACAAGATCATTTTTGACAGGTTTTATAACCGCGTCGAATAACGACGGGAGAGTTTGAGAGCACGAACGAAATCAAGCAGGATTCACTTTAGTGAACCCGTAGTTCACTTTAAGAAGCCAGGGAAAGCAGAAGTAGAATTCTGTTTTGTTTGCAGAGTTTATAAAGGGAGGGGCAGATTCCTGGTACAATGAGTCACACTCTAACAACAATGCTCATCTTTCTTATTGCATATCATTTTTACAGACCAGGCTCCCTTTCACTTTAATAACAGATCACAGCGTATCTTTCTGCTCTGCTCTGCTCCACTCCTTTTCCTTCCCTTTTTCGACCTTTCAACTTCCCACCCACTCCTTCTTTTCCCTTCGCTCTACACTCAACACTTCTCTCTCTTTTGCTTGCTCTAAACTGCCTGACAAAAATTTTCCACCACCACAGGAAGATAAAAAAAAAGAAAAAAAAACAGGGCTGTTGTCCAGAGCAACTGGAACAGGACCACAGAATTACGTACTGAGTCATCGGCCATGCCCATATAGACCGTCTGCTGCATGAAGGCTTGGATGAAAGACATAGTGGGATTACTGGAGTCTGTCTGTAGGGAGGAAAGAAACGATTTAATGAAACAAAGTCCACTGATCATATTATTGACAGTATTCAAAGAAGAAAGTATTACTCTTGTATTGGTTTTAAACTTGTTCGCAGAAAGAACTCATGTTTGTTTTTCCCTCATCCAATCCTGGAGAGAACAAGCCTCTGCATATTTACTGTAGGTGTTATGTGGTTTTCCATAATGGCAAGCATATGGAGACTGCCAGTGCCTGGCCACACCAACGCTAAACTCTGATGCATTCCATTATACATTGTATTGCGATATATCCAGTTACTTTTGATGTGGTTTAATATTGACATAGTGCCTCGTAAGAGAGTTAGATTAACAATTCTTGCGTCAAATGTGTAAATCATAAAATTATCGCTTCCGTTTTCCTAACCACACCCTCATAGGTCGCGTCAATATCTTGAAGGAGAGGGGATTTAAGGCATCACATATCGTACCAAACTTAAGCAAACTCAGCTGGAACAGCTGGACAACAGATTTAAGATATTTTTTTATCGAAGGAAAATGTCTTACCGTGTGTCCTTAGAGGGAAGAAGTGTGTCTTACTGAGCTTCCAGGGGGCGTTGTAGCGGCAGACAGAGTTTATTTATACTCGTGATAAACCCCACCTAGTAACGGGTCCAGCCCATACTCGCCTCCACAGCTGCCATTGGATTGAACCGCTGTCTGCCACATCAGAGCGCAACGCTGCGCGTATAGATACGTTTCTCCAGCTGATTTGAAACAGTCACTCCGTTTTCTTGTACGTACGTAATGGGGTTTCCATGCAATATTCCTAATGCACACACGGGAAATTCGGTTTATTAAAATGTTTGATTTGAAATGTTTATTATTGCCGCTTCTTAAGTGATAGATGATCTGTGATTTTGTTGTTACATTTGAGTCACTCAGTCACGTTACCTATGACCCATTTGCTTCTATTGATGTGTCCGATGGAAGGCCAGTAGCATAACACTTCATTTGTGTGGTGTTCAGGGCTCTAGATGGACACACTGGCTCCACAAGTTAAGTCTTCACTGCTGGAATGCAGAGGGTCCTTAGCGTAAGGGAAAGTTTGATGTTATTGCTGTTTCATTTGCCAGAAGACAGAATGACATTCCTGCTGTTATCTCTCTTGCAAAAGTGTTAGCCTATCAGGAGGTTCCAAGCCCCACTGTGTGTTGATCTTTATCCCTGTGCACATCAGCTCGACAATACCTGCAGGAGTGACTGAGCAAAGACCACCTTAACATTTCTCAAGAAAAGTCTGCCTTTGGTTCAATTAGGTAATGAGTTTCTTTAAGGTGTGGCATGTTATCATGGCAGCACATCAAGGCCTGGCGCTCCCTGCTCCCTACATGCCTCAGCAGAAGGTAATGCGTTCATGCTCCTGAGATTACCAGCCAGGATAATGATACATCTGATTGATGACTGCATCACTTGAGCCCAGTCAAACTTTATCATTACACCACATGGGAGAGTCTAAAATCAAGACTGCACAGGCCCTTGATGACATCAATAAACGCTCCTCTGTGCTGAAAGACGTCCTTTTTTCTGTTGATATCAGTGCATGTGTGTAAATTTGTTATGTTAAACTCTGTTATTCTATTGTATATATTGTGCATTTTTTAATACTTAATATTTTTGGTTACTCTGTTACTTTGCTTCTTGGTGTGTCTTGCTGCTGTAACATACAAATTTGAATAATAATTCAATAATGAATAAAGTACATATCTATCTATCTATCTATCTATCTAAAGTTGCCATATTTGACAAAATGACACTGTGTCCATCCACAGTGGAATATGGTCAGAGCAGAGTTTAGATTGTGTGGGGGAAACGTATGAGGAAAAGATGTATTTTCATTAAAGTGGCATCATGGGTTGATTTAACTCTGTGTAAGGCGCGTTAAACAGGTGCTCAAACTGGGGTCCAAATGCTCTAAATGAGTCTCTCGATCTAAAAAATAAAAGAAATCCTCATCAGATGGCTCGCCCAAGATCAACATGGAAGAGATAGTACAATACCTTTAATCAGCAGCAGCAACAATTAAATTGATTTTATTCCACCAATACAACAGTAGAAATACTCCACTATACAAGTAAAAGTCCTGCATTCAAAATCCTGCTTAAGTAAAACCACATCATCTGCCAAATGTATCGTAAGTAAAGTACAAGTACTCCAAATTTGTATTTAACTTAATGTATAGTTACGTTCCATGGCAAATACATAATTTCTATAAACCCGATCATCCGATGTTCTCTTCATCACAACAAACATGCATAGAGATAACTTCCAGATTCTCCTCACTGAGTTTCACTTGGATGTACGTGACCTATTCCATTCCTTTTCACCACTGAATTATCTTAACCCTAACAAGTGAGGTGAGTGTGCGGTCTCCAGGAGAACAAACAAAAACAAGACAGACCGAATTAAGTGAGTGTGTGCATGAATATCTGTGTCTTTGAATGTGAGACATCATCCAGTTACAATCTGTATCTTACACATAGGAAACCTGAGGACTGTTTGGGGCATCCTTTTACCAGCACACTCTGTGGCGTTTAAGCCAGTGCATGGTGAAACTCCATCTCTGCACGTTAAATATTTAAAGACTGTTGAGAGTTCAGTTCCCCATAGAGATCAGGATCGATGCGTTCTTTGTGTTCCTGGTCAGTAGCAGCACTCAAACTCCACTGAATCCCACTGAAGGGATCTGATCTGCTCTCAGACCAGGTAAACATTTCATCATCAAACTTTTTTTATTATTTTTGTCCAGTTGTGTCATGTTTTCTACTTTCTTGGATGTTATTGTCTTTTCTGATGAAATCATATCCATGGTTTGGATTTTTGACATCAATTTCTTTTTGTAATTTAAAATTTTCAGTTTCCTGTAAATTCAAGTCAATTTATCGAAAATAACTGGCATTGGGCAAATGCCAAGTGAGATGTGATATTTGTTCCTGTGTAGTACAGTAAAATTGAAACAAACGCAAACACTGGGATTTTTTATTTTTTCCTGTTGAGAAGTTTGTAGTTTATAGTCACTTGTAGAGGCTGACAAAGGGATTACACTCCCTGATTGAATCTGCTGCGTCAGCTTTTCGACATCTGCAAATAGTTTGAGCGTTGAACAAGAGTTCATAATGGAGATTCAAATATTTTGGGATCTTAAATTGGATATAAATTACAACTTTTTCATCTTTCAAGGCTCTTTGTGGCTTTAAAGTTATTTTAACCCTCCTTTCTCTGCAGATTTTGGACGATCCAGTTGCATATTTTCAACTACAAAGACCATAAACAAAAACAGCCAACTCAGTTATTTACACAATGTATGTAAACTCGTCTGGAGCTGAGAATGGATCTTATTCACTGACCTTCCTGGGAAAGAAAGTAGGGAGACATCATTCTGTGGCCCCTGCAGGCAAGCAACGTGAGTGTAAAACATCAAGTAAACTCCTAAAGTTCCAATGGCTTATTCATCTGCATAATGTTAATATCTGTATAATCAGATTATATGTTAAAGAAGAAGCTGTTCTCAGTGATAAATGTGTTGCAGGCAGACGGGTGAAGCTAGACGAGGTTTAAATATTCCAGCTGCTTGGCTGCCTCCATTGTAAAGCAGCAGAGCAGTGAGTTTATCAGAACAAACACTGTTCCTGGCAGGGTCTGGCTGGAGATCTGGACATGAAGACCAGCAGGGTCCACTAGAACCAGACTTGAAAGTACACAGTATACCAACAGACCGGCGTATGCACACTTATATTTACTGCCAGTAGAAAAACAGCTGGTGTCCCTCTATAGCTGTTGCAGAAATGCATTGAAGAATGTTTTGTGTGTAGAACTCTACGGGTTGTATGAGATATATATAAATTGGCCTCAGGTACGCATTATGTCAAGGTAAGCTCCACCATCTTCTATCCAGATGTTTTTGCTGGTTGAAAGATGTACAGTATGTTCTCCTGCTGCAGCTTATTTTTAGCATTTAATCTTAACTGGTCATCCAAGTCTACATCCATCCATACTGTCATATCTTAATGTACTCCATGCATCAAGAATTTTTATGTGGTAGGTCATACCTGTCCCTCATTTCTCTGTCTGTTTGCATGTTCTGCATATCTAAATGTCCTCTTTACATCACTCACACCATCTGCCTGTTCATTTCTTTCTCAGACGCCTGGGAGACAACTGACAGATCTAGCTGCCCTGAAGACCTAGAGTTGTCCTCTCGGCCTGGACGGGTCCCTGTCACTGCGCAGGTGCTGGAGGATTTACCGGGCAGCATACCAGAGCTGAAAGATGAGACGCCATGTCCAATAATTTATAACACACAGTTTGACCAGTACGAGGACAACACAGCAGGTCAGACCAGTAGACAACCCTCACCCCACACACGCAATCACCGAGGTTTAAACAATAGTTAACTGTAACCTTTAACCGTTGCACTTTAACCCCTAAGCAAACCAAATAGATAACTCAAGTGTTTGCTTTTCTATCCCACCAACCTTCCTCTGTAATTGCTGACACAATTTCTGTTTCTCTGCTGAAAGGTGTTTCTGGGAAGAAAGTAGCAGCATGACGGCACGCCCACATTCCTGTATGAGGAAACAAAGAGGGGGGAGGGGAATGCAAGAGACAATGGTGTTGAAATATTGCGAGAGGTGGCCTTTTATGGAATGTGTCAATATTTTAGATAAACCTGAATGAACATGAAAACGAAAATTAACATGAAAATGAAAATAAACAGCGACTAACTACTTAGTTAACTAGAAAATTAACAATTATTGAAACATTTTGAGTGCAATATTGAGAAATGTAAACAGACAATAAACTGCATGCTAATCGCTCATTATCATCATAAAGATGTAAAACATGTTTTAAATATCATAAATAAAATGTAAATGGTTTAACTGAGATTTAAGTGTTTTATTTTCCCCAAAACTGCATCCACGTAAGTGAAATAAATGATAAATGCATTATAAACAAATAAACAGAACAGATTGCACAGATTCACAAACACAGAGCTGGAGTGGGGATTTATGAGCTCCAGCGTTTGACATTCATCTGTTCACCATTATGATTATGTAATTGAATATTTGAAGTTCTCTTCAGTTACATGTGCAATTTTAAAATACTGTTATGTCACTCAGCACATTTCCTACATTGCAACATATTTGAGCAACAGAATAATATGTGATAAGACTTGCTGTTACCTTCCTCTCCCAAGTTGTTTCCAACTGTCCCCCGACATTTGCTCCGTTGTTAAAGCTGTCTTTCGTCACAAAACTCTGTGGATGAAGAGATGGGATGCGTTCAGACGCTGGATCGGTGGAAACCACAGAAAACACCCTGGACAAGAGGTCAACCGAGGTGCTGTGAAATGATGAAGACATGTGGAGGAGGAGTGAGAGTGTATCTGTGTGTACTTGTACATATGTCTTTGTGAGGAGCAATTTAAGTTTGAGACCTTCAGAGTGAGAAAATTTTTTGGAAAGTGTGCACAGTTTGGCCGGTCCTCACTTCTTCAAAGGCCTGTTTGAGGGTTCAGACTTTTTTATTGTTCAGGTTAGAATTAGGATGGGTTAGGGTAGGGGTTGAGGTTAGACATTTAGTTGTGATGGTGAAGGTTAGGGTCAGGGGCTAGGGAAAGCATTATATCTATGAGTATCCTCACAAAGTATTTGTGTGTGAAGAGGAGGGTGGGGTGCTAGAGGAGAGGAATGATGATGATGATTGGGTTAGGAGGGGAGGTGAGAAAGATGCTGCAGTTACATAGAAACTGTGGAGCTCAGAGAAGTAAAGCTTGCTATTTTTGACTATCACAGTAACTTTATAATAAGGGTACAAATCATATACTTAAGTAATGCTTAATTAATGCACGACTCGTGATGTTTCAGTGCAGGATTTATCATGGATTCCTGTTGCGCATGATTAACAAATGATAAAGTCACTGAGCCTCTAAGCGATTAGTACACATTTTAGAGATCATCAAGAAATGTTCATTCAGTTACTTCAAAAAATAATTCATATGTGACCAAAACAGCTGAATGCTACTTTCATAATAGTTCATTTCATACCATAGATCCTCCCTGAAAGCAGAACAGAACCTACCTACTTCTCAGACATATGAAACTATTTTCTTTTCACTCAAACAGACATGTTGCTGCATAACCCAATGATATCCATGTTACATTTACAACCTAGGGGTTGGAACATGAGTTTATGCAGTTGTAATTATCATAATTATTTGTTGTTGAAAGAAGTGGACTTAAGCATGGTAGATAGTGATGCACTAAAACCTAAATCATCTAGCAGGTGCAAACTGACAAATTACAGGAAGATGTGCTGGAAAAAAAGCTTCATGTTTCTATGAGAATATGTGCTGTTCTACTTTCAGAGAGGCAGCGCTAATGCACGGGTCTGAAATGGACTTTTATGTAACTGGAAAACAGCTCATTTACAACGAATCATTCAACCATCAGTTAATGTATAAAGTAACTGTGAATTAACATTCCTCAGTTAATCTTGTCACATAAAGTCATCGTGACTCCATCGTTGGTGAGCAGCAGGAATCCGTGATAAAACCTGCATTAGATCATCACGAGTCATGCATTAGTTAAGCATTACTTACATATATGATTTGTATCCTTATTACAAAAAGGTACAAAGTGATGGTGGCTATCATTTTGCACGTATGCTCTGAACTGAATGGGGGATTTACAGCATGTTATTCTTGCAGGCTCATTAGAATCTCAGCTGTCAGCTAGCAGTGATGCAGATCAGCCTGCAGATGCCGAGAGGTCACAAGATGTCAAAATCTACATCCCCTACGAGTCAGCTGAGCTCTGCATCACTCAGGTAAAAGAACCAGCACAGAACAAGCACTATAAGCTCTATATTTATACCATAAACAAAACAGATGACTCCAAACTCTTATGAAACAGGGATTTTATTCAGACATGTGACTTAGAGCTGTGTCCAGTTGTTCAGTGAGAGGACATGCAGACACACAATGAAGTCACTGTCAGGCACTGTGTTGTGTTCTTTCGTCACACTCACATGGTTGCCTTGATGCTGCTGGTGTGGCCTGAAGGCATTCGATTAGTTTACACAACGCAACCAGGATGCTATTTTGTGTATGTGAGGTGTGTCTGTGTACTACAAACCTCACGACAGATAGCTGAGGACATGGAGGCACTGAAGAGAAGACACCTGGAAAAGTTGCAGGAGCTGGAGGAGATTTTTCAGGCCACAGCACGAGAGAACCAGGTGAGGAGGGGTACGTGTGAGAAAAAGAGGCCCCAACACACTGCAACGGTGACACAAATGTTATTGTGTGATCAGGAGTGGACCGTGCAGAGGATCAGATCAAACCACCAGAGCAAGATGAACACTCTGAGGAGAATCCTGGACCTCTATCAGGAGAAGGTGGAGAAGAAGAACGCTGACTGGGAGAGGAGCGTTGCGGTCAGTGATGGTCAGCCCATCTCTCCCTCAGTACCTTTTACCGAAGTGTCTCTCAAACCCAATCAACTCCCTTTCCCATTTTCTTCCTTATTATCTGGCTCATTCCCCTGTAACTCTCGTTTAACACATTTTGTTCTCACTAGTCATGTTATAGGCCATATAGTTAAAACATTAAACAGCTTCATGTATTTATTTATGTATTCTTCTCCTTGCCTGGTCCTTTTTTCCCGCAGGCTTTGACTGCACAGAACGAGCAGCAGCAGGAGGAGCAGAGAGTTGAGAGAAGGAGGAGTAAAGAGGAGGCCCTGCAGTGGGACAGAGAAAAGGTTGCATAGGAATCTGGCAGGCTTCGTAAACTCTTATGTGTTCCTCTGACCTGGAGGACATCCTTGTGGCCATATTTGAGTATAACAGGCAAAGGTTTTTTTTCAATGTCATTACATAACTATTGGACCAACGTTGTTCCGGTCTTTCTTTTAGAGCAAAATGCTGGAACTGTTCTCCAACAGGCTGGATGTCCTGCACAGCCACCAGGCCTCCAGTGAGTCTGAATGCATCAATTAATATGTATGTCTCCAAAATCACTGACCTTTGCATACAACACCTTTCCTAACACCCTGTGACACTGATCAGCGCTGCAGGAGCTGCAAATGGCCCGACAGGAAGTAGGGAAAGTTCAAGAAATGTTGACGGCATCATCGCAGGAGCAGCAGGAAGTCGTTGAGGAAGGGGAAAGCTCGGAGAACAAAGGACTTCCAGATCAACAACATACTTTGGTGGGTTGGAATCAGTTACAATGGCAGTCTGCTGATCATATTTGAAGGGCATGATTTAAGATTATAATCGTATCAGTAAAGCATCCAACAAAACAAAACTTCTGAGACCCCTTCAGAGGAACAATATAAAGAAAATGGTCTCATTACAAAGACAGGCAAACTGTCTGATATTATCCCATTAACGAGTTTTAGGGGTGGGTGTATCAAATGTCTCCATGACAAAATGTTTTTTTGTGATGTGGGTGTACTGACCCTTTAAGGTGGTTCTATCTGCAGGCCTGCAATGAGTCAGATCGGCCACTGGAGGGGGCTAAAGCCCGTCTGGAGGAGCTGAAAGAGAGTCTGTACCAGAGGGAGAGACAGATCACTGAGCTGCTGGAGGCAGAGAAGAGCCCCATTCCTCCCATCCCTCAGCCGCCCTGCAGCGTTCTGCTTCCCACCGTCATACACAAGGTGCTGTTCAATATGTAGCCTATAAACCAACTGCTAACTACCTATGTATCAAATTTCTTTAAAACATGGCATTCCCTGTTTGGCGAGCTGCAGGAGATACTTCATTCTGTCACCTTGATTTTATGACTTTGTTGTATTCATACCACTTCGTTTTCTTGTCTAGGCTCATGCTATCTGCAGCGCAGTGGATGAGACCAGAGCTCTTTTGGACCTGATGATTGAGGAGAATCGGGTCGCTCTGGTCGAAGCCAGAGACAAACTAGATCGTCTGCAGATGACCGAAGAAGACAGTAATGACAGAGGGACCACTGACCAAGATGGGTTAGGGATCATTAAAACAGTTTGACGATGTAAACAAAAAAATGATTGATTAGAATAGCTACAGGCAGTGTCCATATAAAAGTGGCAGGTTAAATTGAGCCAATTTTCATATTGTCTTCCTTTTATTGTCTGAAATATAATATTAATTTAGATGTTTTTCTTCCACCTCTCAGGTTAGATGAATATGAGTCAAGTGTGTCTTTACTACAAGAAACAGTGAGGGGCTACGAGGTCTCTCAGTTGGCTTTGGACTACATTAAAACCGGAGAAAGTCCTGTAACAAATGGTAAATGAATAACTTCAATAAATATGTTGACTGCAGCCAATTGTAAATTAATGATTACATTGGAATCATAATCATTCAAGAGTCTTTTTTATCATTAACTGTAATACTTGAATCTTCAAAAGCCGGTCACTTTCATGTACATCAGTCTTGCTGTCCAACATATGATTCGGTGTCTGCACTACCGCGGCTCACAGGTGCATCTCTTATGTCAGTGGTTTTAATGTCTGTTTTGCTCAGACTGCGACGCTGTCTCAGAACTGGAGGACATCTTGGGCCGAGGGACAATAGGAACCACAGAGGGAGTGAAGAGTGTTGGTCAGCAACTTCTCTTGCTGCAGGATCAGGTTGGTCTTTAAATCACACAGGTTGAAATCTCAGGTCAGGTAGGGTCAGGCCTTAAAGATGGTAACCTCCCACCTGTCCTCTATATTACACAAGGAGCAGAGGAGGTGGGCCTTCCCTGTCTATTTACGTGCCACTACAAAACACCAGTGGTGAATTTGATATACCATAACAACTTAAGATGTGACATAAGTTACGTGGGCTGTTGAAGCATTATACATATTAAGTCTGCAGCTGTTATGTAATGGTTTGAGTGCATTCAGATGTCATACACTGGATTCATTATTGTCTATGAATTAACAACTTGATTACATTGTAGCAAATACATTGACTTTTCTTTAGTTTTGTATCTTACACAAAGTTTACATAAATTCTCCAGTATCAGAGCTGTGTGTTGTCATGCTCTTCTTTAAAGATTAAGCAAGTTAAAGACGAGAAAAGGAAAATGATTGAGAACTACACTTCAGAAAGGACAATGAGGAAGAAGTACTACAACATGGTGGAAGATATGAAAGGTACACGTTAGATATTCATGTGTGAAATTTGTTTCAGTTTAACCCTCACTTTTTGACGTAATTTAATTTTCATGTCTTATTTTGTTTTTAGGTAAAATCAGAGTGTTTTGTCGGATTCGACCGGTGAACCGAACAGAGGTGGGTGGAACCACCGTTGTGGAGAAAATAGACGATTACTCTGTCACCGTGGAATCACCTCGCGGGCCGAGGGAGTTTCAGTTTGACATGGTGTTCGGTGCTGAAGCCTCTCAGGAAGACCTGTTTCATGACACCAACAGGTGAGGGGGATTATGCTTCCTAATCACGGACCAATACACTATATCCACAAATGTACCATAACACATATAATGGGCCCCAAATGTGCATATTTTGCTTCACAAGACATTCAAAAAGGTAGTTTTCCAATACTATATAGTTTTGTGCAAATCCACCCTGACGTAAACATTTATTTAAATCACATTGATAAAAAGACAAAGGGAGCCATCTTAAAGTACAGATGTTTAGATATTTAAATGTTTAAATGCTGCTGCAGTTTAAGATGGGTTTTCCCCCACAGGCTGATCCAGTCAGCTATCGATGGTTACAACGTCTGTATCTTTGCATATGGCCAGACGGGTTCAGGGAAGACCTTCACCATGGTGGGGGACAAGGAACAGAAGAACCCCGGGATTATGCCAAGATCTTTTAATGCCATATTTGATAAAATACAGGAGAGCAGCAGCAAATTCGATTTCAAGGTAACAGTTACCGAAGTATTAGATCTTATCTGGGAGATGGGAAAAATCTTAAAATGAATTGCATCGACTCCCTCAACTTTCTTCCTCCACTTCTTCATCCTTTACCTCAGGTTTCGGCCTATATGCTGGAGCTGTACAGTGACAGGCTGCAGGACCTCTTTGTGAGCACGGCTGGTGAGGCCCAGGCACAGCCCCAGTCCCATGGCCAGGCCAGGCGGGTGGAGATCAAGAGGAACAGAAAAGGGGTTGTGTTTGCCCAAGGAGCAGAGACAAAAGAGGCCTCCAGTGCCCAGGAGCTCTACGCTCTGTTCCAGCAGGCCTGCGCCAACAGACACATCTCTGCCACCAGTGAGTTCTCTATACCGTGCCATGCTGCCTACTTCAAACAGGGCCCTGCTAAATGGTTTGGATTAATCGTGTTAGTTACAGTCAGTGTGACGGGGCGGCAGCTAGGTACATCATTACTGGACTGGGCGGTGAGTGGCCGAGCAGCCAAACTGTGAATCAGCGTCCTGTAGGAAGAGGAGACCCTTTGTTTTATAGATGCACTCAGGTCACCAGAGTCATTACAGGATGCACCTACTGTTTTAGTCATAGGGAGCACTAAGAAAAGTTCAAAATGATTCACAACAATTACTAATACAGTCTTTACACACTTAAGATTCTTTCAGGCACTACGCGTGCATGCACTTTGCTGCCCCTCCATCTGCCACGTACATAACGTACCAGCAAGAACACACAAACGCCAATATTCAATTCACAAAACACAAATAGCAACACTAGTGTGCTCACAGTGTCAACAATATGCTGATCCATATAAATAACGTAGCAGAATTCTGCAGAATAACTCAAATAAACTGATTCCAATTATTTACAGTAGAGTCATGACAGCATCATGTATAGCTTTTCTACAAATAATCCAATTTCAGCTCCTCAAACTAAATACTTTTCTTATCTCTAGTGTGATTGACACATCCGTCAGCTACTCGTCGTGCTTACAGAACTGGTAACCTAGTAACCTAGTTACTGCTACTGGTTACTCCGCGATTTTGCTAGTTGTCCCAATAATAAGAAAATAATTGCTATTTGCAGCCACAGTGTAACCCATTATTCAGAGCCTTTTATGTTGTGTATGTTTCCCAAGAGATGAATTTGGAGAGTTCCCGCTCCCATCTCATTGTTTGCATCATGGTGGAGAGCAGGAGTCTGACCAATGGGAGTGTGAGCACCGGCAAGCTTAGCCTCGTGGACCTGGCAGGCAGTGAGAGAGCAGCCAAGACTGGTGCCAAGGACCACCAGCTAAAGGTTTGCTCATATGTTGCTTTGATTGCAGCGTCCAGGGATTGTAAGGATAATCGATCAGAATCAGATGTTCCTCGTGGCCTCTTTAAATTCTCCTATGCAGGAGGCTAACTCCATTAACAAGTCTCTGAGTGCCCTGGGTGATGTGATCTCAGCTTTGTCTGCTGAGCTGCCCCATGTGCCATACAGGAATAGCAAGCTGACACAGGTAATGAAATAAGAGCAGTATATTTTGGATTTTGACTGAAATCAAACGTAGTTGACCTCAGACACAAATCATAAAAACTGTATTAATGATCAAAAAGCTGCTTATGTGTGGTCATGGACTGTAATGTGGACATGTAGCTCAGCCAAATGTGACCTGTGCTTTTCATCCATCTCAGGTGATGCAGGACTCCCTGGGTGGAAATGCCAAAACCCTCATGATCGTGAATATCTCTCCTTCAGAATGCAACCTTGATGAGACGCTTACATCTCTAATGTAAGAGACAAATAGAGATTTATCTTTTTCAATACCTTAATGCTAAATAACTCCTAAATAAACCCTGAACTCCCTGAACCTTCCAGTTATGCAACAAGAGTGAAGGCCATAACCAACAATGCCCAGAGAAATGTGGAAAACAAAGAGATTGCCCAGCTGAAAGAGGTGCGTGTCACTGTGATGTGTTGCAAAACATGAACATATATGTAGAATAAAACACAAATAATTGAATGGCCACATTGAAACAGTCACGCTGAATATATTTCTGTTTTGTTTTTCCATTTCTGTTTCTGACAGGTGATCATGAAGCTGAGGTCAGGACAGACAGTGGAAGAGGAGGACATTTGAAGTCTCTTGTGTACAATAGTGGATTAAAGTGTTTCGCTGGGATTATTTGGACCATTTCTTTGGTGGTCTGTGTGTCATTTAAATGTTTAATGTAGTCACATTGAGGGATGGGTGATATAAAATAGGTTTGGTTAACTTGTGACCTCAGTGATGACTGAATGAACCCTTAGGTGCTTTTTCTATGGATATAATCCGGATGTTCGATAAGAATAGGAAAGATGGTGATGGGTCAATGAATCCCCTTCACACATTCAATGAGATACCACTCATTTAATATTGATAGGTTAGAATATCCTCATCAGAGCCACAGACTTTAGGACTGCTGTGCATATGAACAGTGCGTGGGCTGGAAAGGCGATGCTTGCGGTGTAAACTGTTGAACAATAGGTGACCTTCTGAACAGGCGACATCACTATTGGGCAGCTGACAGTTGCATTCAGGGGATTTGCGTGCAGTTTGTTAATGGGTGCTGCCTGCCTGATTCTATAGAATGAGGCCCCCACAATATAGGGCCCCATACTCAAGAGGCAAATAGGAAGTCAGTTGGTCATTCAGTTAGCCCTCCTATTGTATGTGGGAAAAGTCAACGAGTTTGTAGCCCATTAGAGAGGTTACATCTTCAGGGCCCATGACCTGTTTCTATTTCTATACTGTTATGGGGTCATATCCCATGACTGGGAATGAACACTCAATCACGCAACGGGTCTGTACTGTGGTTGTTTTCTTTTTCCAGACCGGCAGCAGGTTTACTAAAGTTAGAGCTTCATGACATAATCTATAGACACCTGTATTAAAAAGTTTGCAGGAGAAAATAGCAGATTTTTGAGAATTGTAGGTGTTAATGAATCAAATGAACTAGGCCTCCAATGCTTTATTTCCCTTAATATGTTTTTATGGTACTTTAGGTGACTATGTGTGGACAAGCAATAATTTAGCTGAGGAGATTAATGTGTTTATTACTGTTCAATGGCTTGTTTTGTCTCACTGTAGGGGTTGGCTCAGACTAAAACAGTCACAGCAGATTCGAGGCTTCAAACTGAAACATTTGGCAGGGTGGCATGTCAGCGCTGATGAGGGATAACACTTTCTATAAGAACACCCTCTTTTGTCTGCAATTGGGCCCAATCTTAATTGTTCATAATTAAACCGCGGGCCCCACCAGTGCTTCTCTGTTACGCCACGTTAGAGCCGTGATTCCTTGCTTTGCATGCTAGGTTTTAGGTGCCAGTCAGCACATGTTCACTGTGATTTGTTATTCTTCAATGACGGCCGTAGCTTAAATCAAACTGTGAGCTCCGTGGACTATAGAGAGACAAAGACACAGAGTACACGGAGAGGGATCAGGGTTGATGAGAGGGCCGAGGTCTCATCCTCTTAGTTTGTATTGGTAATTCATCTACGCAAACAAATTCACTGATTTGTATACATGACCACACACAGGCAAACTGGAAATGATGCCTTTAATACAGTAAATGAAGGCCTGCAGTCATGAGACAGTGTTGGCATCATTGAGGACAATAGTTACAGTACTTCTACAATAAGAACTTTAATATTACATATTTGGCTTTAAAAAATACTGCTACAGCAACACAGAGTTTAATCATTTCCCTTTTTATTTTCAGGTTATAAGTATAAGTTATACTGTAAGTATATATAGATAGGTAGATAGATAGATACTTTATTAATCCCACAAGGGGACATTTTTTCGCTACAGCAGCCTTTATGGTACAAAGAATTTATTTCACTACAGCAGCATACTACTTCAGATGGAATGATATTCACCAAAATATTGTTAGAAGTTGACATTCAAAATACAGTTTAACTTGACAATATTTATATATTTTACTACATCTGTTCTTAACAAGATGTTATTTTCCTAAAAATAATATAAAGATGAGATCAGACATTTCAAGAAGTTATTTAACATGTTTACAATTATAAAAAGAGGAAAAAAAGACAATCATCAATCAGTTGTTGAGACATTTCACTCAAAACCACAAACAGTCTGGACCAAAGAAATGTGATAATTCTACATAAAGTAAATATTTATTCACTTTAATATTGTGTAAGGACCACTGAACCCGTATTTTCTGCAGTTGCATAAACACAAGTATAATAACCGCTATTCCTCACTTGATTTGTCAAACTTTGACAACATATTTTGATGATCCTCATCATACATGTTTTAAAATTGTTACCATTCATTTTCCCTAAACTAAAAAATCCAGAAGTCAGGAATACGCAATATACAAATATATTTGTTTCAAAAGTTGAACTTCTGGACACAAGATATGTAATTTGCATATTTAATTTTGCTTGTGTGTACACATGTTCAACTCAGATTTTAGGTGAGCACAGAGAAATTTCAATGTATCACCATTTCACCAATCTTGGAGCTTGGTGAAATGCTATGGCCAGCCGGCTGCCAGTTTGAATCCCTGGGACGGACTTAATCTCCTATTGTCCAAGTCTAACAACTCAATGGCCGACAGCCTACAGTGTCTGTAAAATAAAGTTTACAGGTGGAACTGGAAAAGAACACGAGGCCTCAAGAGACTTTCCGTGCATAGATACAAGTTTAAAAGAGATAACACTCTCATGAACACAACTTTCAAACTTTACATTTAAAGATGACTAATTCTGCCAGACTCCTCTTTTGTCCATATGGCCATGCTTCTTTACATTTAGCTCATGAAATGAGAAATGCCTGATTTCACGCTCTGCTGTCCTCTTTACCACCCTCAAAGATGTCTGGGACTGCATCTAATCAGAGTGTGTGGGAGGTCACAGTACTGATGGGGAGTGAGGGGGAGGATGTTCAAAAAGACGGGGAACTATGTCTTAATATATATTTGCATCATTCCTCAGAGAGCCACTGGGTGAGACTTTGAAGATTTGAGCACTTAGCAAAACAGTGTTTGCTTTGAAGATACGATAAAAGAGGAGGCGAAGCTATAGGGAAGAGGGATAAGGACAGGAAGAAGACGAGGACATGAGGGGGATGAGGGCATGAAAGGAACTGATGAGGAGGTGATAGGAGAGTTGGAGGAGAGAAGTTGAAGGGAGGAGGAGGAGGAGGAGGAGGAGGAGGAGGAGAGGGCTGACGAGAATGTGGATGAACCTTGACTGAACACAGTTTGAGGCCTGAAGCGTTGATCATCAATCTGAAACACCCTCTCTCCCTCCCTCAGACGTTAACTCTAACTAATAACTTAAGATAAAGGCTTTTAATGAGGGTCTGTTTTCATCTTCATTTTCAATATGGTGGGACTCTACTCTTTTGAAAGTGAAGGCACAGAAGGACTTTGAATGACCCTCCATCGTCTTAAATATTGTGTTCAATGCAAACATGAAGTTATTTTCCAGCTATTAGAAACATTTTGTACATACAGTATATTTCCCTTTTGTTGTTCATGTGTGGACTTGACCACATTTGCCAAGAAGAAACTCCAGTCTGAGAGCAGTAATATAAGAGGAACTGTACCTCTGTGGCATTATTAGGTTAGCCAAATATGGTGACTAATAAAAACAATAATGAGACTGTGTGTGGTGATGTTCCAAAACAATCCACACATAACATAATTTGGTCTAAAACCTTGAGGAGATGGTTATCCTGTATGGACGCGGTTTCATAGTCAGACCAAAATCGGTGCTGAGATCCAGCTCCTGACCTGGAACATTTTCAATCCGCAGCCCGTGGAGCAGCGTAGTGAGAAAAACAAACATCTCCAAACGTGCAAATCCATCACCGAGACATCGTCTCTTCCCCATGCCGAAGATGAGAACCTTCTCCGTCAGCTCCTTGTTGAGGAGTCCCGAGGAACCCAGGAAGCGTTCGGGACTAAATGTGTCCGGGTCACCCCAAAGATCGCTAGGAAAGAGTGAAAAAACATGAGGATCAATGAAGCAATAAAACAGAAAAAACACATTCTCCTCATCTGAAAAGGTGTTGAATAACTTAACTCTTTACAGATACACTAACATGTCTTGTGAAAGTCAAACGTATAGCTACTTACAGATCATGATTGACTTGATACTGGTTAATGAAGACACATGTATCTTTGGGAATGAAGTATCCATTCAGGGTGATGTTACTCGTAGTACTGAAGGGGACAAAACTAGAGTTAAGTTCGAACAACAATACATACAACTGTAAACATGAATGTACTGTAAACAAAACTACTGTCTTACCAGTGAGGAATGGTGAAAGGGACGTATGAAGCATGGCGAAACACTTCATATATGAATGCCTCCGTGTAAGGCATCTTGGGCTTATCTGAAA